TCTGATACAGTAGGAGATCAGTATAAATGAGTCTGCAAATAGTAGACACATTCCCTAGATCAGTGGTTCTCAACTTTCACAATGCCATGACCCTTTAGTACAGTTCTTCATGTTGTGGTGACCCCCAACAATAAAATTATTTTGATTGCTACTTCATAACTGTAATTTTGATACTGTTATGAATCATAATGTAAATATCCGACATGCAGGATGTATTTTCAATGTTACTTCTCTTTCTCCCTGAGATTCAGCCATGGAGGGGCTACTCCACCCCTCTCTAAGCCCTGCCCCCCCTTCCTAGGCCCCACTCCCTCACCTTCTACCTTCTCACCTCCAACTATTCCTCCTCCTTCCTCTTCCCTTTTGGCTCTGAAGCAAACCTCATTCCCATCAATCCCGTTTCTTCCTCCTAAAATGGTGATGGGGGTGGAGATGCAGGGCTGAGTGACATCACCACCTCCCTCCAGAGAAGAAGAAGAGGTCTTTGGGAAGTAAAGGGGACAGGGAAAAGTTAGCGGTGTCTCGGTTCCTAAGACCTTCAGAAATATGTGTTTTCCGACGGTCTTAGGTGACCCCTGTGACAGCGTTGTTCGACCCCCAAAGGGGTTGCGACCCACAGGTTGAGAACCACTCCCCTAGATCCTTATATCTTGATGGGGAGTAGCTATCCTGAATACGAGCTCATCTGATCTCAGTAGGGCTGGGCGGTTTCGTTCGTTAATTTCGTAATTCGTTATTAATTCGTTATTTTTTTTTATAACGAAGCGATAACAAACCATTCAGGAGCAACTAAAAAACGAAACGAATTTTTAAATTCGTTCCGTAATTGTTTCGAATTCGTTTTGTATTCGTTTCGTTATTGTTTTGAAATCGTTTCATTATTATTTCCGCATGTCTGGTGCAAGTTTTATAGTTGTTGTTTGTTTTATCAGTGAAAAAAATATAATCACACCAACAGTCAACAACAGAGGGAGAGGGAAGCTTCAGAAGTTCCCCCTGTCCCATTTGGAGGTTTTTTTTTTTAGCATATTGCGCAATCGCGTCCGCCATTAACGAATCGATTCGTAATTGTTTCGTAATTTACGAAATTTTGTATATTTCGAACTTTTTTAAAAAAAAATTTCGGAATTCTTTTAAAAAACGAAAAATAAAAACGGGTTCGGCCGTTGAGATGGGGTACTGGAGAAGAATCGATTCGTAATTGTTTCGTAATTGTTTCGTAATTTCCGAAATTTCGTAAATTTCAAACTTTTTTAAAGAAAAAATTCGGAATTCTTTTAAAAATCGAAACGCAAAAACCCCCTAAAAACGAATCGAGTTTAGAAACAAATTTTTCCGTGGTTGCCCAGCCCTAGATCTCAGAAACAAAATTCGAATTTGTTTCAAATTTCTGGGATGGAAGGCCATCCAGATGATGGAAGGAAATGATATTGGCCAACCCATTGGTGAGCCATAGTTGGAAGTGTTGGTAACTGTAGGTTAGATGTGCCAATGTTCTTATTGCATAAATCTGTGCTCTAAATCTCACCTGAAATGCAAGAGGGACATTATATTTTTACGTTCTGGCTTTGATTTTAATCGATTGACTTTGGTTCAGTAATCAATAGTTCCCCATTTTCTCTAATTCTGAGCCTATCCTAGCCTATGGAAGATTTGTTCATCAACAGTCAAGGGGAATCTTCCCTTATTGCAAATCTTAGTTTATATATAACTAAAACAAACCCAAACAAGGAAGGATATACTTTTATTATAACTTATTTTTATATTTGTAAATAGCAAGATGTTTATAGGAAAATACGTATTCTAAGCTATGTCTATATGGAACAAGCAATGGCATCAAAGCAGTTCTATTATGTAGAATGTGAGATTTTGTATTGTGCCTGGTTATTTTTTAACCAATAAAAGGGACTAAAAATGTATTTATTTATATATGCCATCTACATTTCTGTCCAGTTCTTTTGGCAATACTAAACAGCCTTTGGTCTGGAGTTTTATACTACATCGACATATTTCTCTATATAAGTATCATACAGTAAATCCATAGTTAATTGTGTCTTTGTTTCGTGGTTAATAATCCACTTCTACAGATTGATTTTTTTTCTTTTTTAAAAAACGCATAAGTTAAAAAGTACTTATAGACTAGTTCAGGAATATGTATGCCAGCAATGCACCTGAATCACAACTGTACAGTATCTTTTTTCATATTTGTATACATATTCTCTGATGACGGGAAAAGTTTGATATTTTTTGCTTATGACTAATTTATTTTTTATTATGGTGGGAGAAGAAAAATAAAGACATTTAATGAACATCCCTATCCTGTTTCCGTGGTTTGCAGTGTGAGATGACCTTTTGCTATGGGGGTGCGCGAGGCGGGGTGGCTTCCTTTTGAGGCCGGTCGTTCGGCTTATAGTGGCACCTCGTGTTGCTTCGCGGGCCGCCGAGCGGGAGCGCGCTTCTTTCGTCCGTTGCGTGGTATTGTGGTGTTATGGCGCAGGGCTAGCCGTGGCACCGTTAAAGTCTAGGGTCAGTGGTAGAGTTCTTGTGTGCTCTTTGTGTGTCTTCCCGCTGTTT